AGAATGATATAATAAAATTAGAATAATAAATTATTTGTTTTGTTTGTTTGCTAACAACAAACCATTGAATTTTGAAGAAAAACTAAGAATCCGGTGTTTCGTGAGCGAAGTAAACATATAGATATAAAATATTAGTTCATTAAAAAATGTATTACTAAGAAAAAAGTGTGGCTGATTTATATAAAGACTCCAGATGCAATTATAAATATTTTTACCAAACCACTTAAATTTAAAAAGACATGAAATGTATAAGAAGTTTGAGAATTTTTTAATTAAGAAAGGATATTAGAAATAATAATTAAAAAATAAAATAGTATTTGAATTATAAAGATGAAAAATTATAAATAAATGTGTGATAGTAGAATCTAAGGACCATAATTCTTTAATTAAGGATAATAATTTTTTAATTTATAACAACTTAATATTTAGAGAGATAATGTGACAATTATTAATGTAAGTTAAGGCTCTTATCATTGATATAAACTGTAAATTATACTCCTATTTTATGTAACAAATTATAAAAATCCTTATGTTGTTTTAATTCTTTTAGTCTGCCTCTAACAAAATCAACACTCAGTATGTCATTGGAAAGCTTGAGACGCAAGGGATGCTAATTCATCTTTGCATGTGAAATTTGAGTTATGAGAAGCAGACGATATTCATTTCTCATTTCTCTCTGTGAAATCCACAAAGTCCTAGAAACAAAACAATCTATTTCACAAGCAAGTTACATATCGATGAACTAGAGAAAGAAAAGAGACGCGTGTTCAAACTTGAAAAAGAGAACCAAACAAAAATGAGCCACTGCCCACTGACCAATAGGTTACAAAATGAAAACTGAGACAATGTCAAATCAATGATCAAAACATGCCGATAGAAACTTGCAACATGAGGGATGTGAATTCACCTTTGCATGCAGAATTCAAGTTACAAGAACCGAGGTGGTATTGTGGGTCAAGAGAGAGAAATCAAGCAAAATGAGTAGTCATTGGAGACGTGTCAACTATCGGGAAGTGATTTCTTGGAGCTCACATTTTCTGGAGTCCAAAAGTTACTTATTATATGGCATCAGACATCAGTGTGGAGGAGAAATAGGGGTATAAAAAATGGGTTCTTTAGAAAGAAAATGAAAGGGTAAAAAACATCAAACGGACTAGGACATAAATCAAGAGAGAAAATGGACAGAAGATTGTGCAAGATGATGTTGAAAATGAAGGACCAAAGTGAAGACCTTGGGTAGTGATAACGAACATGAGCTTATAGATGGTGATCTTAAGGGTGATGATGAACTGCATGAAAGATGGTGATCTTGAGGTTGAAGATGAAGGATGATGATGATGAATACGAGTGTAGAGGAAGGGAAGGGAAAGGAACATGTAGGTTAGGGAGAAGGAATAGAATTAGGAGCACAGAGATGGAGGACTTGGTGAAAATGAAAAGGTTGTTGGGGTACATTTCATGCACCTAATTTGTTCAATTTATGTTTGGATTCAAAACAAAGTGATATAAATGACTGTTCATGGGAATTGAAGTTATAATTGTTCATGAATTTTGGTTGGTCACAAGTCTATGAAGAAGAAATAAAGCTCTTTATGAATTCTTATTGGTTAGAATTGATGACACTTATTGTAACACCTTATATTTCTTTCCTCAATATATGATAAATTTTCATAAAAATTAATATGGTAAAGTAAATTTTCCTTCAAAACTTTCTAATAAGGAAAAGACATTGAAATGATATAAGGTTCATAGAGTAAAATTTCATTAATTCATAAGTACTTTAGGAAAACAAAGATTCTAAAGTTTTCATCAGCAATAAAGAGGAATAGTAGTTTTACAACTATTTCAAAAGAATGCTATGGAACTGAAAATATTCATTACATAACTCAAAATAATTAAGTTCTATAGCAGTTCTCATCTATCCATGCACTGTGAGCCTGGTACTATTCAACCTGGTTTCCTGAAAAATGTTGTGTAAGGGTGAGTCTCTACCCTACCACTCATACATAACATATACATTCTTCACAAAACACATCTTATCACGATTAAAGAAAACATCATGGCATTACATATCACAAGGTTATATAAAGCATATTCTCATCTCAACGCGCATTACATTACACAGATTCACAATTTCTTTTACTTTTATCCACGCTTACCGCGCCCTGTGGCCACAGTTATCTGATGCCTCTATCTCGAGGTCTTACACATTCATGTAAATAGTCGCCGGATGGCCCAATGCAATACGGATACAACGCATGCAATAGACAGCCCCTTAGCAAAGGTAATGGTCAAGAGTCAAGTCGAGAAATAAGTGTGTGGCCATGTGGTGCATTCGAACACAATATTCCGTGCACAATCCCGAATGTCACTTACCACCCTGCATTTCCCCAAGATATCCCATATCGTCTCCATCTTCCACTTCTCCAGTGTATCTCTGTAACTATTTACATCATATCTTTTTCCATCTCATACTCTTTTGAACATATTCACATGTTCACATATGCCATTTATCATGTTTACACATATTTTTCATTATATTTCCACATACTTTTCATCATATACATCAAACCATGGCATATTCACAATACACATCATTTTTACATAAAACACAATATATTCAAACATGAAACATCCATCTCTTCGTATATTTTATATCACAAAATCATAAAATCATATCAACCATCCTCCATATACCTTATCATGCCCTATTTGAACATAATATCCCAATTTCACCATGTACTCATCATAAAATCACATAAACAACTAATTATTCTCACTTTTCACTGATTATTTCTCATAAAACAGGGATAATTTCACATATAATTACATACATGACAAGATCTATGAGAATACAAGTAATAAACATAACAAAATGATAAAGTAGAGCCCCCCTTACCTCAAAACAGAGCTTTTACAAGGATTTAACCGAAGGTTTAACTCTAGAACAGAGGTTTTCCTAAGAACATCATGAACATCTATAAGAAGAAGAAGAAGAAGAAGAGAAACGAACGGTAAATCTAACTTCAAACTTAGAAAAACTTACTTGTAATCCTTTAGATCGAACGTAGAATTACAGATCTGAAGAAAAATCTAAGTTTAGGAGGTTTAGTATGGGAGAAAATGGCGAGATATGACCTTAGAACCTTTGAGAACCTTGGATAGGAGTGAAGAAATGAAAATTTCGTCCGCAACCCCCTTTTTATAGAAATTTTTTGAAGTTACTGTTCACCGCCGGGAACACTGTTCACTGCCTTACTGTTCATGCCAGAAACACTGTTCGTGGTAACTATTTACGCCGAAAACACTGTGCACACGTACCGTACACGGATTGTACGCGTACTGTACGCGGATGTGACGTCAGCCATGACGTCATGCTGATGTCATTGATGACGTCATCGTCACTGTTCATACGCGGTTTACTGTTCATCGACACTGTTCATAGGCGGTTTTACTGTTCACTTTTTTTTTTTTTTAAATAAATTCTATCCAAATTTATTCCAATTATACTTTAACAAACCTCATTTTATTTAAATCAAAATATAGGATGTTACACTTATTTACCAAGAAAATATACGAAACATGCAATGAGACAAAATGTGTCAATCCATGAATACTTCTCGTGAAGAAGAAAGAAACACATATAAATGCCTTATGGGGTTTATCTTATGAGAGGAGAACCAGAGTGAGATTTTTTTGCTCGATTTCTACTACCTACCAGGAAGTATTCTAATAAAAGAAAATAACTTAGTTTTTAAGAGAAATTATAATTTAAATATATTTCAATGTTTAATAAGTATAATAAGTTGGATAAGGTCAAATGAATCAATGTACGTAGCAACTTTTATGTTAATTTCATAATTTTCTCACACGCATTAAAAAGTATTCTATTTCAAGAATTTAATTAATTTCTTGAAAACAAATTTTCTAATATGATAATTTTATACATATAACTTTAAAAATCAAAACTTCATTAAATAATTTAGACCTAGACTTGTACCAGTTATTTGAAGACAATACAATTATTTTTAGAAATAAATCCTTAAATGAGTGTATGTTAATTTTATGAATACTAAAACAAATAATTTTAAAAGTACTAAAAGCTTGATCTACTAAAATTCAATTATATCTGAATGCCATGATTAAAAGAATTTATTCTAATAACATCATTAATATTAATTAAATAAAAGCTAACTATATGTTATAAGGATTTATAATTTCATAAATATTCACTTTATAAACAATAAATGTACATATTTTTCATTTTTTGTTCTAAATTAGTTTATTAGGATAATAACATTTTAAGAAAACAAGATAGAGATGATTCTACTTTTTAAATTTGATGGAAATTTTGAAAAAGAAACTTAGAACAATTTGTGGTGTCTTTTTTCCATTTTTCTTTTAAAGACAATATCGCGTTTGGATTTACACTACCATAACTCAACTTGATGATACTTGTTATGACGAGCTCGCTTGAGCAAGAATAGTTCTAGTGAAGCCCAAAGAAAGAAAGAAAAATAAATAAATAAAAAGGTCAAAAGGAGAGAAGAATAAACAATGATGAAAGAATAAAGAATTACATTAAGTAATATGATTATGTCATATAATGAGAGAGAGACATAAAAGTAAAATTAATGAATGATGATCCTACGGAAATGGTTTTGTATCGTTTTCTCTCATTACATAACATAAGCTAACATGGGATGGTCCTAATCCTTCACTAATGCATGTTACTAGGCAGCCACAATTCAAAATCCCTGATAACTCATTGAGTCCAACAAAATAAATTTTTCTGTACACAATCTATGTTTAGAAAAAGATTCCGTAAGCTCCCAAGTGGAAGAGAAGGCCATCAATCATGGCTCTCTTTTCTGCTTATAAAATGACTACTAGCCAGCAAAACCATGACATGGAACCATACAACAAAAAACAGTGTCTTCCCTATTTCATGAACTGACCTTAAACATAAGTTGGCCACTCCATTTGGGAGATAAGGAACACTATACAGGTCGGTGAACATGCATATTCTCATGAACACTCAGGACAACATTCCGTAGTTCAGGGAAGATAGATATAAGTAGAAGTTCAAGTATTGCATATGCAAGTTGCTTCACGCATATAGAAGACTACAATGAAATAAGATAGTATAATAGTTTAGAAGATGAGTAATTGTATAAGTTGACATGATAAAAACTAAGACAAAGGAAAAAAAAAATGTCAAACAGTTTACACAGAGTGAATACATCAATGGGAAGAAACTCTAACCTGACTAAAGTAATATATGTCACTGGCACAGCGTTTGTATTGCTTCTGACCTATTAGGCTGACTAAGGCTGCTGGAGCTCCATCTGACAAAAATGGAGGCAAATATTTATGTAATTGAAATGCTATTTACTTCAAATTTCACAGGGTTATAAAGACCATTTAAATATAAGGAAAAATAACATAGCATTCAAACGTTTTCTTCAGCAACAAAGCCATTATAAGTTCTTAAGAAAACCTCTCTTCCAACAGGTTATAAGACGTCCATAATGCACAAGATCATGAATTTCAACTAATTAGTAATGCTCCACCATAACATTTTCCTTTTACATATTCTGATGATTGGAGAAAGAAACAGTACCTGTTATTCATCAATTGCATTTTCAAATGACACAATCTATATTAGAGGCCAAAAATCTAGTGCATAAACACATCTGTACTTTGACCAATTACCTCCCGAATCCAAGTTGCAATCCTACATTCAGTGATCTAGTAATTTTTGTTTATGGACCCTCCCACTAAATGAAGTTACTCTCAAATTAACTATAATGGAACCATAATTTATAGAAGTTTATACCTTTTGAGCACATGACAAATTTGCTAAATTCCTTTATTAAACAATACAATCTTGGGAATTTATTTATTTCCATTGCTTCATAGTAATACTTAAATTACATAATTTTCTAAACCATATGTGAGGCGATTAAAAGAAATAAACCTTGGCGTGTCTTTGCAAATTGGTCAAATTTAAAGAGCCTTAGAAGGAAGGTTAAGATATACACAATAGATGTTTAAATAAAATGTCAAAAAGTACAAGAATATCCACTAACCATTTTCCGTGCATCAATATATAATACTACTGAAAACAGAACTAACCAAAGAGCAGTTTCTTCACATCACTTGCTCTACGAGCAGCGTCAAGCTGTTGCTCAAAAGACCCTGACGTTGATTTGGCGATACTGATTCCACCAGATTCACTTATAGTTGGTAAAGGCTTTTGATCAAATGCACTGCCACCAATGAACACCTCAGGGGTCTGTACTCTTAAAAAAAATGTACCACCTGGCCAAAGGATCTACAAGCGTTGAGACAAAACATTAGCACAAGCCATTGGCAAGTTTTTTATAATTTTCTTTTTGGCTGGTGAGAGTTGTATCCATCTTACTTAACAAAGAGGTAATTGCAAAATCATGTAAAGAAATTTAGTGAAGGAATTCACCGCATTTATCTGCAATCTATGACTAACCAAGAAAAAACAGCAAATTGATTTTATAGAAACAGAAATCAATAACTATTTAAAGATTCAGAAATATTAAGGATACTAGAGAACAAATATGACATGTATGTTAACTTTATCATAAATACAAATGAAACGAATCTGTACTTTATTACAAAATAATGAGCCAAGGATATTAAGCTATTGGGTTGGGCAATATTTTTCTTTTTCTTTTAGTGATATCAAAATCTCCATAGAAAGAAAGAACTATATAGAAGGATTAGATGTCCTGTTTAAACGTCAAAGTCAAAGGGAAAAAGATTACAAAACAAAAACAAGAACAGGCTATGATGTTAATCCCAAAAAGCTCTCCAACCCTGCATGCTTACCAGAAAGAGAAACATGACCAGAAATGACCTATGTTCAGAGTAGGTCTTTCAGGTGTTTGATGAAATATTTGGTTTTCTCTAAGCAGTTTCCTTTGAGTATTTTTAGAATCTTCAGTGCGATTAAATTGGGTATAGATAGGAGTACACAGCTTATGCAGTGCTTTTGTTTCTTTAGCCAGATCAGAATTCCAGACTTTTAAGGGAAATTGTTGTCTTTTCTCTCTTGCTATGGTACAATATTATTTTCAAGGCTTCTTTGTGGAGTTTGAGACACATTTTGTCCAGTCCAGGTGTCTACAAACAGCACCAAAACAATCCAATGCTGTAGAGAAATAGTATGTTGGTGTGTGATACTGTTAATCCGCATTAAAAGAATTCATCTCTTGGAAGGCAATGTCCCAGAAAAACATGTTTAAAAATTTGGTTCAATCCTTACATCTTGAACCCATCGAATCCCTTGGGCAATGGTATCCTCTCTGCGGAGCCAGTGAATCTCACTCAGCAGCCAATCATCAATAGCATCTTCCATCACCAATTGTAGTATCTGTTTTGATATCCAAAAGACCTGTCTTCTGCATGAACAGAAAGGAACTAGCATTAGTTGTCAAGAAATTTTGGCTTGATGCCCCCTTTGATTCTGATTTCCTCTCTATATAGTACAAGGTCATTTACAGCTCTTAATTACAAAAAGATTCTAATTTCTAATTGGAAAAACCTAAATTAGGAAGTCTAAGTATGTAAAATTAAGATATTGATTTATATTACTAATACATACAGCATATAAAAAAAAAATGACAATAACTGATTCCCTTATTAACATCCCCCATCAAATTGATGCGGTTGGTCAAGACACATCAATTTGCTTATGAGAAACTGATGTTGAGGACGTGGAACAATCTTGGCAAAGATATCCACAAGCTGAAGTTGCGAAGTGATATAAGGAAGAGAGATAACTTGATTTTCAAAGGCCTCAGGAATATAATGGCAGTTCACTCAATATGCTTAGTAAACTCATGAAAAACTGGATTGGAAGCAATCTGAATTACACTAGTATTGTCAGCATAGTGTGGTGTAGCAGCTGTTTGAGGAAGTCAAGCTTAGCCAAAAGGCCACGAAGCCAAATAACTTCAGAACAAGCTATAGACATAGCCCGATACTCAGATTCAGTGGAGGAGATAGAAACCCATGATAGCTTTTTGCTTTTCCAAGAAATCAAGGTAGAACTGAGAAAACCACTGACTGATTTCCGAGTTTCAGAACAACCAGTCAAATCTGCATCACTATAGCCAAGCAAAGTTAGAGGTAAGCGGGTAGGAAAGAATAGACCTTGATGAGAGGTACCTTTCAAGTAACGGATAATGCAGTGAACAACAACCAAATGAAAGTGGCAAGGAGAATGCATGAACTGACTCACTTCCCGGACTGCAAATGAGATGTCAGGACTCAGGGTGTGTAATAGTTAGGTCACTAAGCCTAGCAACTAATTGATGAAATTGTAAAGGATCAGGCAGAAGATCACCCTCATCACTATGATGTTTTAAGTTGACCTCAAGAGGAATATCCACTAGGGCAGCAAAAATGAAGACCAGTCACAATTATCAAGTTTTCAGTATACTTGTGTTGATGAAGTAAAATACTCGGTTCCTATATTGTTAAGGATAAGTTTCCAATTCTAGTGGTGGATGAGATACTTGACAAGTTCCATGGGGCACAACACTTTACAAAGTTAGACTTACACTCATTCTACCACCAAATTAGGATGACGCCATCTCATGTGGAAAAGACAACTTTTCGAACCCACCACGGACACTTTCAATTTCTAGTCATGCCCTTTGAACTTACCAATGCCCCCCTTCAACTTTTCAAAGTTTGATGAATGGAGTTTTTGAACCTTATTTAAATAAGTTTGTTTTGCTTTTTTTGACAACATATTAATTTATTGCAAAACATGGGTGGAACACACATTATATGCGATTAATTATTGAATTGTAGCAAACTAACATGTTCTTAAAAGAAGTTCAAGTGTCTCTTTGGCAATTCACAGGTAGCATATCTCAGACAGTCATTCATGGTTCCTGGAGTAGAAGCATAATAAAAATCAAGGCCATTACTGACTGGCCCACTCCACAATCTACTAAGGCTCTTCATGGTTTCCTTGGGTAAGTAGGGTATTATAGAAAATTCATCAAAGATTATGGACAACTAGCTGCCCCCATTACTGACTGCCCTCTCCACAATCTACTAAGGCTCTTCATGGTTTCCTTGGGTAAATAGGGTATTACAGAAAATTCATCAAAGATTAATGTCAAATAGCTGCCCCCTTCCTCACAAATCTTTTGAAAAAAGACAAGTTTTCAATGGAATGTTGCAATTGACCTTGCCTTCAATCATTTGACAGATACTTAAATTACCAAACTTTGAAGAATAATTAGTGGTTGAATGTGATGCTTCTGGTAGTGGTTTTCGAGTTGTCTTGCAACAAAAAGGGCATCCCATCATTAGCCATAAGATTGTAAAATGACAAAGCGTACGAATGCAATTTGATTGGGTTGGCCAAGGCAGTGACTCATTGGCAATCCCATTTATGAGGCTGACACTTCCTCATTCGCACTGATTATTTTCCTCATACTTTTTAGAACAATGTCTAACTACTTCTCCATAGCAGCAGTGGATTAGCAAGCTTATGGTGTTTGATTTCTGAGTAGAGTGTAAGGCGAGAAAATTGAATAAGGTCAGTTGCTGATGCCTTATCTAGAAGAGATGAGGATTTCCTTTAACTGAGGACAAATTCTTTCCCTCAAGTTGCAATCTTTGAAACCCTTGGTCAAGAAACTACAAATTCCCCTAAATTATCCCACCTACAGCAACGCATGGAAGTAGGGGAGCTGGGGCCAGATTGGACTATATGTGAGGGATTGATTTTCTTTGTAGGAAAGGTATACTTATTATCCTCTTCCCCTCTTATCTCCACCAGTATTTCAGCTACGCCTGATGTGGCACATGAAGGTGGGTTGAAGACCCTATGACGACTTTGCAAGGATTTTTATTGGAAAGAGATGAAGCATACTGTATTAGAATTTTGTGCTGAACTGTTATGTATGTCAGCATCACAAATGGAAAAATTTACTGCCCTAAATGACTTCAGCCTCTCCCAGTTTTTCACTAAATTTGGTCCAATATCTCAATGGACTCTGTGGAAGAACTTCCTAAGGATTAGCGTAAAACAGTCCTTATGGTGGTGATTGACAGAGTTTCAAAGTATGCCCATTTGTTTATCATTGGCTCATCTATTTACCGCTATATTTGTTGCTACAGTTTTCTTTGCCAAGGTGTTTTGTCTACATGGTTTTCCAAAACTATAGTTTCAAATCGTGACAACATTTTCCTCAGTCTGTTTTGGAAAGAATTATTCCTCCTTAGTGGCTCCAAGTTGGCTTTCTCTTCCGCTTTCCACCCCCAATCTGATGGTCAGACAAAAGTAGTCAATGGTACCATTGAGATGTATTGCTACCTCACTAGTGATCATTTGTGACAATGGGTTGATTGGGTCCCTTAGGCTGAGTACTGCTACAACATGTCATACCATACTACCCTTGGTACCACCCTTTTCCAGCTGATCTATGGCAGAGAACCTCCTCGACTGTTGTTCTACTCTGTAGGGTCTACCCGACTTGAAATTTTAATACAACACTTCAAAAACGTGATGATGTGCTCTGTGATGCTCATACTAGACAAAAATCACTTATGATTCTTGACATAGAGAGTTGGCTTTTGTGGTTGGAGATTGGGTATGGCTGCAACTTCAACCATATTGTCAACTCACAGTTATGAAACACAAGCATCACAAGCTCTTGCCCAAATATTTTGGTCCCTTTAAGATGATCGCCTGAGTTGAACCTGTTGCTTATAAGATTGCACTTCCTAAACACTGTATCCATGATGTATTCCATGTTTCCCTCCTTATAGAGTATAAAGGTCCCTGGTTGCCTATTGCAGGTACATTACCACCACTATGCAATGGCCAAGCCTCACCAAACCATCAGTCTATTATTCGTAGTAGCTTGAATCGAGTCAATTGTGAACTCTTAGTGCATTGGGGCTGGGGGTATCCTCCTAAAGATACAAGATGGGAACCACTTACACACTTCCAAGAAGCTTATCCAGAATTTGAGCTTGAGGACAAGCTCAAAGCCGGGCAGGGTAGTAATGATGTGGACACATTTGTGGTTGAACAGTAAAAAAAAGAAGACAGTAGCAGTAGATGCAGCACCGTAGCAGAGGATATATTTGTTTCCATTATTTACAAAATCTCCCTACTTTATTTAGGATTTGTTTCCTTTTTATAAGATATAATCATATTATTATCATGATTTAGGATTGTTGAAGATCAGAGTAGAATCATGCACATATAAATTAGAATAATCCAATTCTGATTTTACGACTTAGAATTTAATGTAGATAGAATCAATTTTATTCCCTGTCATTTCCTTATTTAGGTACAAATTAATAGGGAGAATTATTTCCCTGATTCTCAGGGCTAGATTAGGGGACCACAATATTCCTCTTGTATTCTATTTATAACTCTCTTTATCCTAGTTTTTGAGTAGAGAAATATACATTATATTTCTGCATGGTATCAAAGCCTGATCTGAATCATCCCTAACCTAGCACCGCCAATCATGGGGGAAAACAAGGCAGAAGGTTCATTCACCAACATGTTTGAAAGACAACTCTTACTATCATTGGTCACAAATTGAATGGTAGTAAGGTGGACGAGTGAACACACAAAAATAACATGTGGGAATAAAAATGTTTGATAAAGTAGTAGTAGAAGTAGATTAGAAATCATATATATTTGGTGAATACCTATTAGGTTGACGAGTCACCTGACTCGATTGATGCAAAGCTACTGGTGTAGGCTTAGGCAGCAAATTAGCATCAAGAAGGGGAGGGTCAGGCTGACATTTGACATACATGTGACCTAGTTTAAAATGTTATTTAAAGTGAGAGACAACAGAATAATTGTGAAGAGTAACAAAATCACTGAGGGTTGGAGAAGGAGAAGGGGAAAAAAATACTTATGATCAAAGAAAACTACTTTTGAGAAACACAAATGTGATGAACAACATCATAACAGAAATCTTTTGTGAGTGGTAGTATATCCCAAAAAAACACAGAACAGATTGCGCCCCAAGCTGTTGACATTCAAAAGGTGGTAAATTGACAAAACATACACAACTAAAGGGATGAAGATTATTATAATCAAGATTCAAGATGAACATTAAAGAGATGAAAGAAAGGGGAATTTACTGAATCTATCCATTTCTTCTTGGTCTGAATAAAAATTTGGATGAAGCTTTCTTGGAGGTGGAAAGGAAAGAAAGCAGTAGAAGAAGTACTGAAAGCTTAATGTCCTATGGAAAGTTGTCATAGGAATACAATGCTTTTATTTCTATCTTGGACAGCATGGGAATTCCTCATGATGTACAAGAGGCTGTCCAGCAAGCTGAATGAAAGAAAGCAGCAGAAGAAGAACGCAAAGCTTTGAAAAAGAATGATGCATGGAAGTGTGTAGTGCTGCCAAAAGAGCAAAACTTGTTGGCTCGATCCAAACAAGACATTTCAAATCCCAAAGGAAGAATGTACTAGACCTATTGAGAGAGATATGAATGACAGGATGCAAACCTTCTATTGTAACATACATTTAGTATGCTTATTTCTTATTTCCTTTCTTGTATAGATTTGGTTTGCTATATTTGTTGTGAATCAGGCCCGATTTAATGTCCATGATTTTAGAACTGTTTTTTATGACCACACTTGTATATATAGACAGGAATTGTACATAGAAAAATCAAGAAATAAAATATCTCAATTTCTTTTTTATTTCCAACTTGATATTAGCGCTCTTGATCCAAGAGTCTGTACTCGTGCACTCTGAGAAACCCTAGCTGCCTTAATTGTAGAATCCTATTTATCCCAACTTATTTCCAGCATCTTCATTACTCTTATTTTTGCAGTTCACAATGACTGTATCTCTTCCCATATTTCTATTTTGGCATTATTTTCTAACTCTGTCTCAGGTCAACCTTCATCTAAACCTCTCTTGGTGTAACAAGGACAAAGTAATGACACTCAAAATCATCCACCAGATCCTTCAAGGCCCTTCTTCAAGATCATCCCTTGATTGCTGATCCATTACAAACACCAGAACTATCTCCTCTACAGTGTAGCTCTTAATGCATAAACCCTCAAAAAAGCATGGTTTCACCTTTCCCTTATCCTTGATAGCAGCTTTATCATCTATTCCTATTCCTTTTTCATATAAACAGGCAATGAAGCATGAATGTTGGCAGAAGGCTAGTGCTAGAAGGAAATCAAACATAGGATGTTGTGCCATGTCCCCCATCTATTAACCTCTTGGCAGCAATTTTGTGTTCTATAAAGCTCCATTCAGATGGATTCATAGATTGTCACAAGGCTTGTTTGGTTGTGCTTGGAAATAAGCATGAATACAAACTTGATTAGGATAAGATGTTTTCCTCCAGTCACCAAGAAGACTATTATGTGCACAATTCATGCCCTTGCTGCATGACAATCTTGGCCATGAAGTCAAAATAGATGTTATAAAAAAAATTCTCCATGGTGACCTCAAGGAGGAAGTTTATATCAAATTTCCTACTGGTATATAGTTTGAAACCTACCATTTTGTAGTGCACTTCATAATTCTTTCATTACCTCCTTGGCACCTCCAATCGTGGTTTGTTCTTCCCAACCAGTTAATCTCTCCAACTCCAAGCAGACAATAATTTTGATTAGGCTGGATGTCTAAACATAAGGTTATCTACAAGTTTAAGTTTCCAAGTCATCCAAAAAGCTGAGTATTGTGCTATGTCTGTTGCATGCTTAGAGATAAATTGGTTGTGTGGTCTTCACACAGAACTTGGATTCTCAAGCACAACCTACTCCACTGCATGCTGACAACACAAATGCAATTTAAATTGCAGCAAAGTCAGTTTACCATGAACACACAAAGCACGTAGACATTAATTGTAACTATATCTAGGAAGCCTATGATTGAAAAATTTATCACTCTGCCTCATGTCTCAACATCTGTTCAAATTGCTGACATTTTTACCAAATCCTTGACAATCCACCACCACAATGTCTTAGCTGGCAAATTGATGCTTGTTTACTTATCAACATCAAATTGAGGGGGATGTCAACATTCCTGATTCTCCCACTTCTTTTTCCCCCTTCATCTCTCTTTTGATACTTGCAAGATCTTTCTTTATTTCCCTAATAAGGAGATCCTCCTTGATCTCCTGTCTCCCTTCTCCAATCTACAATCTCTTTTATCATTTTTTCAACGATGTTAAGAACTTCTTTCTTCATTCATGTTGACATCTAAACAGCTCCAGCTCTAGGATCAGAGCTTTGATACCATTTAATAAGAACTGAATCAGTAAAGGAGAAAAAGAAAAAACTTTTGTTGAATGAATGAATTACCCAGGCTATACAAGGGAACTTAGACTCTCCATACTCTCGAAGGGCACAATCGTTTATCCAATTGACAATATACCTTTCCCTCTGGACCCTTCCTCTTATTTAAAGGCAAGATGCCATATTTCTTCTAACTATCCCAACCCAACTAACTAACTCCTTAACTAATTATTCTGACCAGCTAAGGGCTATCTATTAACTAGCAAGGTAGAAAACCACATTAAAAAAGTTTGACAATATACAGACAATAACAATCACCTTGGACATACAGGAAGACCAGAAATAGTAATATACCTTAGCCATCCTCTTTTCTTAAGCTGAAATATGTTGTCAACCAAATTCAAAATAGGGACAGTTACATTAGGCGGGGTCCACTGCAAAATGGTCAAAATTGCAAAGGTTAATTGTCTTCTAAACCAGAAAAGAAAAAATTTAAATTGATCCACAGTCCCTTTTATTTTCGGTAATGTCCAAATTGGTCCTTATATTTTTGAATTTTGTAATTGGTTCATTATATTGTCAGAGCACCTTTTTAGTAGAGGGCCAATTAATGAACTCAAATTAAAGTTTTAAACATTCAGAAATCTAATAAAATAACTTGAAATTATTGGGACTAAATTAGAATTTTCAAAATCCTTATAATTTCTCTAATTGGGTTCTTCAATCTCCCATATTGTTAGAGCACCATAAGAATGCTCTAACTATAGGGACCAAATTTAGGAAATTTGAAATTATAGGAATAGGACTCAATTAAGAATTTTAAAATTATGAGTAATCAATTATAAGCTTATAAATATAGGAATCTGTTTGAAAGTCCCCATATGTATAGGGACCGTTACATTGTTTAGAGAAAAAAGAAGCAATCTCAAAGAATAGACAAAGAAAAGCCAAGACCCTGACAACATTCTGCATAGCAGAGTCCCAAGTTAAAACTTCAGTTCTGCCTTGTTCTGGTTCTCAAATAATGAATAGTTATTCTTTCCCTAAGAGTGGAGGGAGGAGGGTTTTCAAAATACTTTATCAGATCACACCATCATGTTGATTATGTTTTTTAATTAACAATTGAAAACAATTGGAAATGACATCCTTTTGAAAAGATTCTATAAATAATTAGGCCGAGTTATATACTCTTCGGCAGATCTGCACTATGATTCCAGATAACTATGCACCTTGCTTCCCTATTTGTAGATGCATGCTAAAACAAGCCTTTAGCAAGCCAGTGGAATCAAACTCAACAAAAACACTGATTTATTTTCTTCTTACCATTTTATCTGAAGGAGTTATCATTCTGTTTTTTTTCTCCTTAAAGGAAGATAAGAGACCAACACTAGTATGGTAATGTCGCACAGTTTTCATTGTGTGTCATTTATATAAATGCTATCCCCAAATTTACCAGGTAGGCAGCATACAAGTCAGCAGCCCGGTTCCAAAGAGAAAAAGCAGCTAATGGACTACTTAAGCATGCATCAATAAGTAACAGAGAACCAAATATCTCAATCAAGAAGTGTGATTAACAGAACAAAAATGCTACAAATCCCAGTTGACTACAGACCTCAGGTGGAACTCCATCTGGATCCTCCAAATTATCAAGAAGAGTGGAAATTGTTGCTGGAACATCCTTGCCAACCTTAGCTTCCATCCCTGCATCATGTTGTGTATAATCCTTGGAGCTCAATTCATTGTCAGAATGCCACCCATTATCTTCTGCAACTTCTTTATTCTCATGGCCACAATTAATTTCCTTTTCACCTTCATCATTATCAGAGCTTAACACACTCTCTGCTACATTTTGACTTGAAATACTTCTATCCATTTCATCCACATTCCAGGACATGTTCCAATTGGTTGGTGAACTTTCAGTTGGTGGGGATGATGAACCAACAACTTTGCGCATTAAACCATCTGAAACACCTTTAAACTGGCGCACAATATCATCCACAGCATCATCCACATTGACTGCCAAAATAAAAAAATTTAGCATTATGACAGGAGCCGATTTTTAATTGTAAAAAAATGGAGTACACTTCCTAATAATGAGTAAAATCAGTGTTTCAAATTGCAGACTGCATCATGTGATGCAACCACATTGACCAAAAAACTGCAAAATAATGCTGCAAGACCACAACGGAACGTATTGGACCAAGGTAGACAATGAAATCCTCACACAAATTATTATTCATTCTTTTTCTTTTATTAGTTAGAAGATTTAGGAGCAATTATGAGGGATTAAGGGAATTTTAGGATGGTAGTTAATTTGTAATGAAGAAATGAAAGATTTGGAAGGAAGTAGACAGAAGTGTGAGATTTTGAATATGGATAATAATAAATTATAATGCGTGAAAACAAAATAAATTCACAGTGCAATGGCTGCAACATAAGTCGCAGTGACCGCAAGATCTGCAATTGCAATAGCCGCAACTGCAACCACCTCCACAACTATAACTGCAATTTAAAACACTAGGTAAAATCCCCTCTAATTACACTAAAAAATAGAATATAAAGATAGAAACACCTGCAGGTCTTTGAGGGCCTGCCTGCATTCCTTAATAAAGGGCCAAAAAGCTTCACACAATTTGTTGCCTAACTTCTACTCTCTCTGTTCTTAAAATATATCTTACTCCCCTGAATCAAATTCCTTCCCTCTTTCCTCATTTGTCACTGAATTGGCATTCCAGTATGCTGCATTTGATTTTTCCCGGCCGCACTGTTCACTATGTGGCGACTTTTTCCAGCCACTCTGTTCACACTCTTTGGCGATTTCCTTTGTTGGTATGGAGATCGCTAGGCCTCTAGTTCCATTGCTTCTGTTGTGTACACGGGTAATTCTTTTGTTAGTATTTTTCATTCCCCATCACTTGGTCCATGGGTGTTTGATTCAGGTATCACTAATCATATTACCGGTAACAAATCCCTCTTTTCCTCTCTCTCTATATTTGAGTACTTACCTTCTGTTACTATAGCCAATAGGTCTCAAATACAATCTCAGAGTATTGGCACTGTCCCTCTTCTTCCATCATTATCTATTGACAATGTCTTATATGTTCCTGAGTCTCCTTTTAATCTCTTATCTATAAATCAGCTCACTCACACACTTAATTGTGTTGTCTCCTTTACTAAAGATTTTGTTTTTCTCCAGGACCGAACAACGAGGCAAATGATTGGCACCGGCTGTGGGTCACATAGATTTTATCAACTTCAACCCCTCACACATAATGGTTTGGCAATGGATTCTCCTCTTCTTTTGCATGCTAGGTTGGGACATCCAAGTCTTTAGAAACTAAAACTATTGGTACCAAGTCTCTCTCAGTTATCTACACTTTCTTATGAGTCGTGTCAACTAGGAAAGCATGTTTGTAGTTCCTTTTCGAGGCGTGAAAATAAGCAAACCACATCTCCTTTTAGTTTGGTTCATTTTGATGTTTGGGGTCTTAGTCGTACTATTTCTACTTTATGTTTTAGATATTTTGTTACTTTTATTGATGATTATTCTCGTTGCACGTGATTATTTTTAATGAAATATCGTTTTGAATTATTTTCTATTTTTCAAAGTTTTTTAAATGAAACTAAAGTTCAATTTGGTCTTCCAATTCGTACTTTACATAGTGATAATGTTAAGGAGTACTTGTTACATTCTTTTCAAAATTTCATGGCGTCTAATGACATACTTCATCAAACTTCTTGTACTTATACTCCTCAACAAAATGGAGTTGCTGAAAGGAAAAACAGGCACCTTGTTAAAATTACTCGCACTCTACTCTTACATAGTTGTGTCCCACATCATATTTGGGGAGATGTTGTTTTGATAGCTTGTTACTTTATCAATCGATTGCCTTCTTCTGTTTTTCATAACCAAGTACCACACTCTATCTTGTTTCCTAAACAGCCTTTACATCTTATATCTCCCCGTGTGTTTGAATCCACATGTTTTGCCCATAATTTTAGTCCAAGTAATGACAAACTCTGTCCTCGTTCCCCCATAAATGTATTTTTCTTGGTTATAGTCGTTCTCAAAAAGGTTATAAGTGTTACTCTCCAACTCTTAAACGTTATTTTATATTTGCTGATGTTACTTTCTTTAAGTTTGTTCCTTTTTTTAGTTCTCCTGCAGTCTCTAAATTAGAATCAGAGTCTGTCATACCTTCACTACTAATTCCGATTGTTTTTCACCCACCAAAGGTCACACTTCCTCTTGATGAGCCTCCTCTATGTCTGTTATAAGTATATCATCATCAGCCACCTTTGCCCATTGTTGACATACCATGTGACCCTCCGCCAGTTCCGAACACATGTTCCTCCTTTGGCCCTATCACCTGACATTGATCTTCCTATTACACTTCGAAAAGATATATGTTCCACTGGTAACCTCTCTCCTCATTATGCTATATCATATCATCGTTTATCTTCATCCCAATATGTGTTTTAATTCTTTGTCCTTTGTTTATATTCCTACAAATACAGCAAAAGCTCTCTCACATCCTGCTTGGCGTTAAGCAATGCTTGATGAAATGTGTGCGTTTTACAGTAGTGGCACTTGAGGCCTTGTTCCTATTCCTTCAGGTAAATCTGTTGTTGATTACAAGTAGATATACACTGTCAAAGTTGTTTAAAGCTCGTTTTGTGCCAAAAGGCCATACTCAAATCTTTGGCTTGGATTATGGTGACACATTCTCTCTAGTCGCTAAAATGACCTTTCTGCGCTTGATCTTGTCCATGGCTACCATCCGCCACTAGAACCTTCATCAACTTGACATTAAGAATGCATTCCTTCATGGTGACCTTGTTGAGGAAGTTTATATGGAGTAACCTCCTAGTTTTATTGCTCAGGTGGAGTCTTTAGGATTAGTTTGTCATCTTCGAAAATTCTTGTATCATCTTAAATAGTTTCCAAGAGCTTGGTTTGGTAGATTCAACATTATTGTCCAATAGTTTAGGATGATTCGAAGTAAAGCTAATCACTCAGTTTTTATCACCACTCAGCCATAGGATACATTTACTTGGTTGTGTATGTGAATGTTGTTATCACTGGCAGTGACCATCATGGCATTACATAGTTGAAGAACCACTTATGTCACCATTTTCAGACAAAAGACTTTGGAAAACTTTGATATTTCTTGGGAATAGACAATCTAAGCATGGTATTGTAATTTTTCAAAGGAAGTATGCATTATATATATTGGAGGAAACAAGTTTAATGGGGGCCAAATCTGCAGATACTCCTATGAATCCTAATTCTAAACTTCTACAAAGTCAGGGGGAGCTTCTTGTTGTCCAAGAAAAGTATAGAAGATTGGTTGGTAAACTAAATTATCTCAGTTACTCGACTCAACATCTCTTTTGCTGTTAGTGTGGTAAGTTAGTTCTTCAACGCTTCTTGTGAAAGACATTGGGATGCATTGATTCACATCTTGAAGTATATCAAAAGTGTTCTAGGAAAAGATCTCCTTTACGAGGACAAGGGTCATGATAAGATTGTTGGATATTCTAATGCAGATTATGTAAGCTCTCATGATAGGAAGTTCATCTCTAGCTATTGTGTTTTAATTAGAGGTAATCTAATTTCCTAGAAGAGGAAGAAGTAAAATGTGATTTCTCTTTCTAGTGCAGAAGCAGAATATTGAGCCATGACTTTAGACACATGTGAACTTATATGCTTGAAACTACTTAAAGAATTGAGATTTGGAGAAGATACACAAATGACACTCATTTGTGATAACCAAGCAACCTTACACATTGCCTCAAATCCAGTCTTTCACAAACGAACAAAGCATATTGAAATTGATTGTCACTTCCTTCATGAAAATACAAAAATGACACTCATTTGTGATAACCAAGCAACCTTACACATTGCCTCAAATCAAGTCTTTCACAAACGAACAAAGCATATTGAAATTGATTGTCACTTCCTTCATGAAAAGATCTTATCCAAAGTTATCACCACAAGTTTTGTCAATTCAAATGATCAACTGACAAACGTATTCACAAAGTCTTTAAGGGGCCCTCGTATTCAGTAAATATGTGACAAGCCCGGTGCATATGATTTATATGCTCTAACTTGAGGGGAGTGTTAAATATATGTAAATATATTATTTAGGAAAATAGTATCTATTAAATATATTTAAATATATTATTTAGGGAAATAGTATCCATGTAATCATAGTAATAGGTAACTGTATATTTGTTCTTAATTTTGTATCTATGATTACGATTCTCGTTATCAATATAAATATATATCCCGTGGTGTAGTAGAGACACACGGAATTCCTTTCATGCCTTTTGTTTTCTCTCATCTTGATAGTCCTTACCCACATGTGTTGATGACTTCCTATCCCCTATCTCATCCAATGCCCCTGGTTTATCGTGCCCAACCAGCCCACAACAATGATAGAAATGTTAAAAGTGTAATATAAAACTATTCATGTGTCTTCACCTAACAACTGAACTCTTAAATTTAGGCTAAGTCTAATTCAATCCCAAAAGCTAACTCGTAAGGTGAGAATTGCTATAACCTTTATAAGCTCTTATTTATTTATAGTCAATATGAGATTTCAACTCACCCCTCACACTCAAAATTCGTCATCTGGAGTGTGGATATCATAAGATTGATTGTATTTTTAATATTGGAATGGGAAAGCGGTAAGGCTAGGGAGGTAACATTGGGACAGGCGCCGGAACCAGGTAGGTTGCGTTGAGATATCCACAGGACCAAGTTTCTTTTAAGTCAAGGGTTTCTCAATATCAAATCTACAATAGACTCTAACACAATCTTAAATTTGGGTTATGTTCTAACTCAACCCTAAAACTTAGTTCATAAGGTGAGGCTTACTTTTAGACTTTATAAGCTCTTATTTAGCTACAAATATAGTTGATGTAAGACTTCAACATTAACTTTTGGGATAAAAGTTTGTTCATGACATGGTAAAAGTTGAGTTTTAGAATAGGTGGGCGTTGTGCATTGTTCATGCTTCGAGCCCAATAGGCCCTTGTGCGAGGGGATATGTTAAAGATGTAAAATAAAAACATTTATGCATCTTCACCTAAAAGCAAAAGGTTTTGGGATGGTTGTTCCATGACAGAAAGTTTCCTACTTTCTATCTTATTGGTTTGAACCCTATAATAAAACATAAAATGCATACTAGCATTGCAATGGAAAAGTTTTCTGTGATTCTAACTCACTTAATATTGTCTTTTTATTACCTCTAACAGTAGTTGGGATGGGTCAAATAACATATTCAAATTACAAAAACAACACCAAAGTCTTATCCCACTAGATGAGGTTAGCTATATAGATCACATAACGCCACTGAGTTTGGTAATAAACTAAATTCTTCAAGATATTATTTACCATGAGATCCCTACCAATAATATTGATTTCAAAACCTTAGAAAACAACTCCAGAACACTTACATGAGACAATATAATCCTAACTTGTGGGTCATCATTAATAAATTATATTTTAATCACACTTATTAAGTTGTAATGTAGTCTAATTACATCATACCAATGTTTAATTACTTTGAATTGATTGCATTTATTAAGAAGATCTCGATTAGGGTTGAAAGATAAAAATATTATAATTTCGGATTTTTAACATCTCTGACCTATATTTACTATTTTGACAACATCTTGAGCTATAGGTTAAATTTTAAGGTAATTCTTGTTTCATTGGAAAAATATTTTCCAGGTCTTCAATTTGATGGGTAATTTTACAGAAAGATGATTTTAGAGTTAAGAAATATTTCTTGCACAAGTTGACCACTGCAGCTGCACATGAAAATCGTATATTACAATTTTATTGGGCCTAATTTATAGTCTACTAAGGATCCATTATGTTTTGAATTTATATTTACCATAGGAGAATAAATAGCTTAGTTTCCCTCTCCTTTAATATGTTTAAATTACATTTTGAATTACCTTCAATTTTCTTCGTTATTTTTGGATTGGGCATTTCAATTTTTGGCATTAGTTCCCATTTTTGCTCTTCTTGTTCTTAATTGAATTTGAATTTGTTTTATCTCTTATTCTCAATTTTGTTCTTAGGTTTTGTATGATTTTTGAATGTCTATGCTTTATGATATTCAAATTCTATTACTACCCTTAATATATAATTAAGGGGAATTTATAATCACAGTAATACTTAATTTTGCAGATTAAATTTAAGATCAAGAATTATATTCAGGTTGCTTTAACTTCTTGTGAGTTTGAATGAAATTCGATTAATAATAATTGAACTAGGATTATTAGGAAACACTTGATAGACTAACCTGAATTCAATGAACACTATGTGTGTTATTCACAGTAGAAATTTCCTCTAATTTGATTAGTGCTTCATTAATCACTTAGATCAAAGTAAGAGTAAAAATAAAATTCAAATTTAAAAATTAATAACTTATGATAGTCTTGTTATTGAATTGAATGGAGAATTGATCCATTAGTCATCACTGTTAATTTGTTTATTTTGCGCTGCGTTTTTAATTAATAATAACCAATCAACCTTCAACCTCTCTTTTTAGTTATTGTTAATTCAGATTTAGTGTGTGCATGATACTTAGTTTAGCAATCGTTGTCCCCAAACACACGACCAAAGCTAACTTACCTAGTACCACATTAATTTTTGCATTATATTTTGACCAAAAGCAGTTTCAATTAACCATGCATAGAATGATAGAATAGCCATATCCTAAGCACTTATACTGCAAGTATGACAAAAATCCAACATGTTTTAAACATATACCTGCCAGGGTCCTCATCATTGAAGAAGATTTCCCAAAAGAGTAGTTCTTCAGAGGAAAAATATGAAAAAAAATATAATTCATTAGTTTATCATTTTCTCCATCTTTAAATATCAAGAAAAATGATTTATGGTCACTCATCTGATGTTATGATAAGAAATACCAAGCAAATACAAACCTTTGAGGAAACACTAAAAAAGTCCCATACTTCATGTTGTTCAGCAACATTAGCTATTGACAGGAGGTCCTAAAGAAAGACAGCATATTTGATGCAATGATATAGTTATTAAAATATACAACAGGAAATATTAAGAGTTGTAGACAATGACAAAAAATACCTGGAGATATTTATCAAGTTGAATGCAACGCTGATGGACAAAGGCATCCTCTGTGCTTGAGGAAAATATCCTTTTGGGAGGCAAATGCAATGAGTAATTGGGAATATCTTTTAGATGTCGATGCAATCGCTCAAAATTCCTGTACCTGAATATCATCAAAAGGAAGGTCAGTTATGTCAAAAGCACCACTATAAATATGGAACAAAACAATTCAGAAATCCCATCATATTTATTCCCTATCAAGAAAAAATGGGGGACAAGAGAATGATTCAAAAAAAAAAAAAAAAACAATTCAGTGATACTGACATTTGTTGTATGGTTGAAACTTAAGACTTCAAACACATTACAACCAGTATAAACCCAATTCTTATTAACCTATTATAGAATATCAAAATCTAAATTGTTAAGAAACTTGAGCCTAACTCACTCTCAAAAACTAGCTCATAATAGGATTACTCAAGCCCTTATAAAGGAGTATTATGTCTCTATTCCTAATCAATGTGGGACATCTTAACAAACACCCCTCACACCAGGGCTGGACATCTAGTGCATGAAGTTTACAATACTGGACATCTGTAGGTGACCAAATAGAACTAGATAGACTCTAATATCATGTTAAAAAATTTGGGCCTAATTTAACCCAAAAGCTGACTCATAAGAGGAGATTACTCAAGTCCTTATAAGGAGTATTCTACTTTTATTCCTAGCCAATGTTGGACATATTAACACAAACGAATAATGTGCACTCCAACCATTATAGAATGAAAAAGTTAATACTTTGGTCCTCTTACTTTATTTTTTGCTTCATTTCAGTCCTGTATTTCTTTGTTTGATTTCAATTTAGTCCTATTTATCACTGCCACAATTTTAAAAAATCACAATTTGTCTCTGTAAAATATTACCACAACTGACAAATAGGATCAAATGAAATTAAATAAAAAGATAGAGGACCAAAATGAAACTAAAAAAGTTAGAGAACCAAACTGGACCAAAATATTAATTGTGCCTACTAGAATTGAATTAAAGCAAACCTTCTACCTTCTTCTTACAAACCAAGTTTTCTCTTGTCCATCAGTGACTGCAATAGAATAGACAGCAAAAGATGTGGATCCTAGTTTCTCAAAATATGCTCCTATCACCTGCAGCATACAAGTAGAAAATAAACAAAAATCAAATTGAATGAAATGAAGCATGGAAACAAATTGTCAAGAGTGCATACCCGGCACCGAAGCTTGGGAACAAATTGTCCCTCTCTCTTAACAACTGAGTCTGAACCACCCTTTCCCCAAAATCCTTCACTGTGTTTCTCAAATTCAGGGATGTGGAATTCTGACCTCGGGGACCCTCCCTTATGAAGTTGCAATCTCAAAACAGAAGCACTGCTGGATCTCTTGAGTGATTCTTTATGCTTGTTACAAGCAAAATCACTGATATCCTTCATTTCATCAACTTGATGATCTGCTTCAAAAGAGAATTCCTTATCAGGATCTGGTGAAGACTCGGACCTATTTGTGCTTCCAACATTTAGAAGGGGATCTGAAACCACAGTATGCAGCGGAGACTTTCCTTCTGGAACAGCATATGTTCCGTGTTTACTCACTGATATTTCCTGAGCCAAATGTCTATCAGGCAGTGAACTCTCTGTTGCATGATTTTTTGCAGAAGGGTCCTGCAAGCCAGCTTTGATATTTTTATTCTCTTTACTTCTGTAATTCCTTCCTCTTGTCCACATGTTCTCAAGATTCTCGGGCATAAGAACTTCAGTTCTTCTCTGAGTTGCAGCATCCAGCATTTGTGCCCAATCAGCAGAGGCCGTATGACTATCATGTCCACCCCCAGGAACAGAATGACCATGATTATGAGTTGCTGCACTAGTTGAATGATCGCCGCCCCCCATCCAATTTACACCCTCTTCATTGAGGAGAAGTAAAAGGGATTCAACCAGCTCATTGATATACCTGATCACAAAGACAAATATAATTTTATGAAAGGAAATCAGAATAAATTTGTTAAGACTCTTCAACATTTCCAGTCTTAGATAACCAACATAGGTTTCTTTAAAAAATCAGGATCAAAATCCATTTTCTACAATGTTAGTGCATTAAAATGTTTCCAACTGTATTGATTAGACAACATGCAAAACATTTTTTCTTGTATCAATAGACTATATTTTAAGCTTTAATTAGATATCAAATAAGCCCATTTGAGAGTTGTCATAGGTAACTCATATTTTCTCTGAATCTCCGGTCTCCCAAACAAACAAAAATACATTTTAACTTTTTAAGGGGAAAAAAGTCTTCAAAATAGTTAATAATTTATTAGTCCAATAACTTAGCACTAGGGTTGTATGCGATGGTATTCTTAAACTTACAAATTTGACAATCAGGACAATGATCACCAGACCTAGGATCTTTACACAACGTTTAATTATCTTATCAAATGCTTCCTATGCAGGTTACTTCTTTAGTTATTTCTATAGAATCTTGTTTTAATATATCTATAAGTTTAGGAATTTCTTTTTGATAAAACAATGATATGTAATATGACAGATGGGAAACACCCAAACCTGTTGTTTCATAAAGGACTCAATTCATGGGCACAGCATACTGTATCCTTATGCATAATCAAAGACTGATTCATGAACCCTACTAAGTTATAACACCCTATATCCCATGGTAGGAAATAGGAACATTTTCTAGGTTCATTTATACCAAGTATGATCCAAAGTCCCACCTTCAACAGGTTACACATTGTTAAGGCCCTCCTCCCCAATAACAAAGGCTTGAAGTAATGAAATTTAAGATAAAATATTCAACATACGCAGGGCTTGCTAAATTCATGACAGGTTGCAATATCAAGCAAGTTAAAATTTCCCGCGCTATAGATCGAATAACAGGACATTGAACTTCTCGTTTTCTTAGTACTGTAGCTAACACTCCACTTATTAGCTGCTGAAGAACCTAAAGAAAGAGAAATCATTAGATAAGGTGTGAGATGTATTTTGCAAAAGCAAAACATAGACGATACAAACACTCCACTCACACCTTGTACTCACTCTCTGGAGATATTAGTGCTGGATGAAGCTCCTTAGAATTCAATAGATGAAATTTCAATCTTTCGTCCCTCTCCTCAGAAGATAATGTTAACATAACATCAACACCTATGGCAGCTTGATTTCTTCGGAAAAGGTCTATGTGATCACCTATTAAATCAACTATGTCCCTGCATAAGTGAAGTGAACCATAACATAACTAGTGATTTAGTTTATTATTATCTAGTACCAATCATTTTATCAGTACAGCAGCTAATCAAGATTCAAGAACTTGCCAAATGCTTTTCTTCTAGAAGCAAATTAGAAGAGAGGTAGAAATGGTATACCTTGTGAGCAAGTCAACTAGGTTTATCTCTTTAACCCTCACTGACACCTCAGCAAGAGCATCCATGATTAAACCTCGTATCAGCTCAGGAAACTCCATATCAGGAGTAATGTCTGCATACCACATATTTATCACAAAATCCTTCAATATCAAATCAATGAAATCATTCAAAGCAGCCTCTATGACAGGAGAATCAATCTTCTTCTTCCACTTGGGAGGGGGAGGTGAAGAAGAGAGGCGTTCATCATGAAGTGACAGCTGATTTTTCTCCAAATGGGATAGATAAGTCTGTAATCTTGGTGGCTGAACCTTCCAACGAAATTCCACCTTTTTCAGAAGAATGCGCAGAGCAGCAACAAACAGAATGGATACAGGAAGATTCATCCACATTGATTTACTTGTATCTGTGATGAACAAAAAAGATCATCAACAACGATAAATAAACAAACAAACAAATAAGTAAAAATTTGCAGTCTCAATAAAATCCAGGTAGCAAAACAGCAAATATCAATCAAAGATTCAAACTTTGCAGTCTCAACGAAAACCCAGATACAAAAATGGCAAGGATCAATCAAAGACTCTAAATTTGCAGTCTTGAAGCAAAACCGAGAGCTATTATCAATCTAAGATTCAAAATTTGCATTCTTAAAGCAAAACCCAGATGGGAAAATAGCAAGAATCAATCAAAGACTCTAAATTTGCAATCTTCACGCAAAACCCAGATAGAAAAACACAAATGCAACGACAAAGACTCATTGTGAAAACGTGAGAATGAATAGAAAACAACATGAATGGGAATAACGATAACTTACGAGTGAAGAAATAGGAAATGGCGAATATACAAAGTGCCCACCAAAGAAAACGGAGCTTGGCCTCTTCAATGAGATCATAGATGATATCCATTGTTGGTGTGGGTGTTAGAGGACCCATCTTGCTCCCTCTGTAACTAAAAGCGAACTCTTTGCCACCTTCAAATATAGCATGACAATGTCACAGCGACATCCTCGCTATCTTTGTTTGGTTTCAATTCGTTTAGTGTTGTCCACCTAAGCCATTCTCTTACTCCTAAATTTTGGAAATTGGTGTTAATATAAAGTCTCTTAAAATTTGTAGTAACACTTGTTTCCATCTTCTAATCTTTGCTTTAACTTGAAGGTCCTCCCAGGAAACTATACTTGTGTACTAAATATTTAAATTACTTTCATAACTATTCTTGCAAATTTCACTCTAGTCTTCCTTGAAATTTTACGATTTATTTGTTTATTTTTTCTCTTTTTCTTTTTCAGTTCACCCTATGTATGTAGCAGTGGGGGAAAAAACGTGCAAATAATATAAGGCTGGCCCAAAAAGAATTGAAAAAGAAAAATAAATAATGTCATTTATACCAAATCTTTTTTACAAATTCACTAACTATTATTCCCATTTCTCACTCTCCTTTCCATTTTTTCTATCACTGTGCTAGTATCATACTTCTGGGATATAAGTAGTTACTGTTTACATGAAGTAAGCATCGACGATACAATATAAAATTCTTCACTCCAACCTATTTTGCATTATACTCAAATTAGCATTAATTTTTAAGAAATATTTTATTCATTTTGATAATTTCTCAACGTTACAATAAAAAAGAGATTACAACAAAAAAAATGTCAAAGAGTGGTTCCGTATTATCTAAATTATTATGTAAAGTAGATACACTTAAAAATAATTATAAAAATTAGTTCCAAAATAATTCTTAAAGATCACAATTTTAAATTTTAAATTTTGTTCTGTAATTTTTATTATAAATATCTAAAATTCAAAATTTCTTTCTTTTTAATCCTTTTGTCGTGTTTAAATTTGAATGTATTATCTAAATTGTCTATATTCAAATGAACAAAACACTAATAAACAGGAAAAGAGATTCAAGTAAGGGTGAGTTTAGCTTAAAAGTTTAATTTGTTAAAAATATATAATTATTCTTCAAAAATAACTTTAGACTATTGTACGTATCTAATCGTTTTTCAAATGTAATTTTAGTATCGATTAATATCGATTTAGGGTTTAGGGTTATTAATGATTATTTCAAAAGATTTAAAATGTTATAGTGAAATTATATAAGTGATTAGTCGCTTAGCAAAGGTTTAGAGAATAGAGATATCTTTAGTGCATATATACTTAAAATTTTAAATTTTAAATCTTGCAAGCATTAATTAACTATATAACAAATTTTATTCTTTGTTGCTTAACCAATTTCTTTAAAATATAATTTTCTGTCAATTTAATCTATAATCTACCCATTTACCTTTATAAAACAAAATATAATCCTCGCTTTCTTAACTGAGAACTATTCTTATTGTACTATATTTTTCTTGAAATATGTAATATCCTTTTCCTTACCTTGTTTTCATAAGCTATTAAATTACTACTTTTTTTTAAAAAAAAAAGTTGAGTCAATTCCTTACCAATATCTCATTTATTTGATTATTCCATATTGAAGTTAAATAACAAGAGAATATTCAAAATTGCAAATTTATAATTTGATCTAAATTAATTTAAACTCGATTCAATTAACTTAGGTTACTAAATCGGTTAACCTAGCCTCAATTCAATGACAAATTATATTTAAATTTTGACATTATTGTAAGTTATATATTTTACAAATTAACTTCCTTAAAGACACTTGTTAGAGTTAGAATATGGTTCAGATAACTTGAAAATAAATATTTTATTTTATTTTATTAAATGGTCATATTTTAATTAGATGAAATATTACTTTTTATAAATTTATGATGGGTTTTATTTTTAGAACACCATTCATTGTTAATAAGTGATCTAATGACCTATATGAACATTGAATAAATATACACTATTAGATCGGACCCTTTTGCATTCAAGAGATAATGGACCTAAATATAATGGACAATGGTGAGGCATAGCTCCTGGTCCTGGAGTTATAGTTTCGATTTATATTTAATAGAAAATTAATTATTTTAGATTACTATTATGAATTATGAGCAAGAGCTAGAAAACAAAATGTTTTCATCTGTGACATAATTTATAGTGGAACTTATCCTTTTAGATAACTTATTTGTAGTTTAGTATCATCAATAATTAACGTTGTCTTATTATTGATTTTAAAATATCTTTAAAGGTAAAATAGAGTTTAGTTAATGATTTTTAAAGGTCATCTAAATTATTTTTTATTTTTTAAATTTATATTTTATAATAAGTATTTCTAATTAACTTATAAACATGTCAAGAGCGGCAGTGAGAGAAAAACTATCTAAAAACTAATTTACATCAAAAGAGATTCAAACGTAATACTAATTTATCTTTTAAAAATTCCTTAAGAAAACAAAATAAAATAAATTTTATTATAAAAGTATTCTTGACATTAGTTATGCTAATCCATTAGATCAACTTGTTCAGTTTAATTTGGATTTTTTTAAGTTATCCGAATCAAACATGTGATATAATTAAATTTGGTTTGTTTATAATATAAAATTAAATATAATCAAATTGATATTTTACAATTCCACTTGAATATTTTCTTAGTTTTATTTATTTTTAAATGATTTTTTATTTTTTATATCTATTTACTTTTATATGACTTCCCAAAAATTTAGTAAAATGTCACCTCTAATAAACCGTTGATTAATGATGGTTATATATATAAATATATTTATATAATTTAAATTTTTGTAGGCATATGATATAAGATTTGTTATTTACTTATATTTGAAGTTTCATATATGCGTTAAAATATAAATCTGGTACAGAATAGTTACAAAAGATAGGAAAATTGTCAAGGAAAATTTAAGTTGAATTTAGAGATCTTAAACCAAAAGATAAGAAATGATAGTGGTGGAATGCAATTATTTAAAAAAATAATAGAGATAAGATAATGTGTTTTAAAACTTTGTATACATATAATAATTCTAAAAATTGAATAACGTATCAGAATATAAGAAATCAGACAAAAAGCATGTTCAAGTATGGTGAAAGAAAGACTAATAAGTTTACCAAAAATAGAGAAATAAAATCTAGAGATTTGGATTAAGATGAAAAATATATGAAGGATGAAGCAGAAAAAATATTGGTTTCAAATCAAGATATCAAAGACAAATATCGAATTTTTTTTTTTTTTAATGATGGATAAGGACTAAATGAAAATATAGCAGAATTAGAAATGCAAATAAATTATCTAAATGTAGCATATTATAATATTTCAAAAATTTATTATTTATAATTAATTAAAAATCATATTAAACTAATCAAATTAGAATTAAATATTAGAGGAAAAAAGTTAGAAATTGATCCAAAAATATGCCAAATTAAAGAAGAATTGGGAAATGTAAACGTTATGATCTAATTTTAAGTAGAGATTACTTTTGTAAATTACCTAAAATGATTTTTAACTATCTAAATTAAGATATACAATATAACACCCTTATTTTTGTTATGTATTAATTTTGTATTATATGATAACTGTTAATGCATGTTGCTTAAAATTAGGAGAGTTTTAGGTGAATGAGTTGCAGCATTTTTCGCTATAGTGAGATGTGTCTTGTTGTAGCGAGAAAAGTCATTCAAAATCAAACTCTCTAAAGCCCTCTCGTTGTAGTAAAGGAGTCTCGTTGTAGCCAGAAGTGGATAAGGATGACCCAACTGCATGCTCGCTGTAGCAAAAATTGACTCTTGTTGTAGCTAAAATGACAGACAACAAGGAAAAAAAATGTCTGAATTTGTTACTGCTGCGAGATAAGGGCTCGCTGTAGTGAGAGACAGCTCGTTATAGTGAGAATGTTGCAAGTTGAAGGGTATTTAAGAGTATTCAAGTTAAGAAAACTTAAAATTTCTCTTTTTCTCAGAAAATCCTTGACAAATCCCAATCATTCTTCGATCCAAGCTTGGGAGTTCACTCTTATTGCTTTTTGATAAGTTCTTGAAGCTTGATTCTCCATTTCCTTAGTTATTTTCTTGTTTCTCACCTCTAAAAAGGATTTTTTGTAATATTTAGGAAGAACTCAGCCTTTTAAGTAAGATCTCTCACAAACCCTTCCTAAACTTTTATTTCAAGGTAAAGAGAGCTCTACCTTATTACTAAAAACATGATATATTTATGCTCATGAAAATGTTGTGGTGTGATGTATGATTGTGGATGTACGTTGGATTGAAAAATGTTTGTTATGTTTGATGATATGTATGATCTTTATTTTGAGCATATATATATGTATGTTGTGGATTGAGTTCGATGGTAACCAACCTTTGGCAATAATTAATTGATATATGATATAATAATGAACTTGAACAAAATAGAGAGATGAATAATATGTTAGTAAAAAAAATATTAAGTTCATGCATTATTGACTAATGAGAGGAGTAGAGTCATAATGAAAAACATGGAAATGAGATAAAAAAAAATATGAAAAGAGAAATGGAATGAGAAAGGAAAATGACAAGGACAGGTGTTGATAGTTCAGAGATACACTGGAGTATGGAAGATGGAGGTGATTTGAGAAATCTCAAGGAAATAAGGGTAGTGGTTGCTCTTCTTGAATTATGCATAATAACTAAGAATAAGAGTACCACATGCTTCACACTTATTTCCTAAACTAAACTCCGGACCACGCTTTTGCTAAAAGGGGTTGGGTCAGCACACATTGTATCTGTGTAGCTATGGCTATCCAACAATAAACTATGCTAAAGAAGACCTAAAGAGATCCTAGGGTAGTGAAAGTGTGGAACGAGAACGCCAAGTATTAATAGAGAGAAAATGCAATAAGCTGAATAAGTAATGATAGTTGCATGTATAGGAATATGAATTGTGTGGCATGATTGAATATTGTATCATCTTTGCTTGTGTTGTTTGACCTAATTGTGAATATAAGCCTGGTAATGGGAATAAAGGCTCATCCTTA